TTATAGCTATCACCTGTGTTGGAGAAAACCTTTTTGTACTTGAGTGGGGTAGCGGTGGTAAAAGGTCCTATGTTTCCTGAACCAGAATCCCTGAGAGCTGCTGAAAAAGCCACCTGAGGAGAGCCTGAAAACATCAAAAGCACCACAAATACGTTGGAAAACTGCTATAATTATATTTCATTATAAGGTTGATAAATGTCTTACCTCCAGTGAGATTCTTTAACTCCAGTACTTCTTTTTCGGCGTTTTGCAGTCTGGTCTCCAGAAAAGTAATTTTTTCTGCCATGTTTACAACTTTCTCTCCTAGTTCTCCAAGTTTTTGAGTTACAAACATGAGAGGGCAGATGTTACCGCAGCTGGCTGAACCTGCAACTTGATAAGCTTCATCATTATTCTGATCAGATCCAGAACAAGAGAGACAAAGGCTGAATGCTAGAATCAGAACAGCAATTTTCTTCATGTTTATCACTTCCGGGTTTCTGCTCCTCTCCTCAGATATCTCCGACCTTTTATACCTGCATGTGATAGTGCACAAACGTAGCTCAGGGCTCCTGTGCCCGCCTTTTATGCCACCTCAGTGGTATGCCCCTATCCTTCAAAGATATACTTTCTGCTAAAATTAATTTTGAACTGTCAAAATTTATGGAAATTCTGAAGGTCAAGAACTCTCAAAACTATATTTTCACTTTAAACCCAAACCACTTTTCCATCCTTTTCGTCATCATTGTCATACTTACCTTGCTGTTTTAATCTCTGGATCTAAGGTGTGACAGGTTGTAAAACCAACAAAGACTAATGTCAAAGGTCCTGTTGTCCAGACAATCACTTTCAAAACTGCAAATACCAGGATTGAGTCCAATCGAAAAAAGACATAACCAAAGATGAGATGCTCAATTTCTTTCTTTGTAAAATTTTACAGTAATGTGATGACTGGAATCTATATAAAGGACTTCTATTTAGCTGTAACAAAGGAAAGTAACATAAATATTTTAACTTACTTCACCCATTTATGTAATTTTTAAATTACTCAAAGAAAAAAGTTAGAAAAAACATTTTAAACCGTTTTATGTGCGGCTAATAAAGCAAACAATTTGATGAGAGCCCATTTATCACTAACACTTGTTAGTGTTCTTAAACTTGAAAAGCTAAAGGTTCACTTGCTTCTGAAAGTGTAAAAAAAACAGCACCAACATCAGATGTCTCACCCCTCTTGGTTTTTACTGCAGGATATCTTGATCCAGAGGTGGTGTGGCTATGTGGAGATGAACCTGTTGGAGAATTGTCAACAGTCCAGAGAGATTATGATGACAATGGTCGCTGCACCCTGATTCTTTCAAAAGTTGGAGCAGAGAATGCAAATGTTTACACCTGCAGGGCAACCAATGACAACAAGGAGATATTCTTAACTGCTGAACTAACAGTTCTATAATAGAGACAACATATTTAGGTATGAATAAAGGAATTATCCAGTTATAAAGACCTTTAGTGTCTTTGAAGTGTCCAAAAGTGGGGATTACAAAATATGATGCAAGATGTTTTAAGTTTAAAATTTATCTCAGTAAAAAGATAATTTTTCAACAAACACGCCAATGTTATACAGATCTACAGACAATCTGGACGACATCAAAGCCATGAGAGGAGTTTCCTAAAAAGATAGCCACTGTCTCTCTCTATGGCACAGACACACAACTTCCCATCTTATCTGCATTACAGCTCTTATCTTTTCTGAGGCCTTGAACAATAATGAGATTCAATCTGCTATCAGACACCATGACCTGAATATGGTTTTCTGTTAATCTGGGTGAAGCAAATGAAGAATCAGCCATAAAACTTGTGAAACTTTCACAAGTCTTCCATTGTCATAGTACTATAACCATTACTATTGGCATAAGGGCAAAGTCAAAAACCTTTCACTCTTTCAAAAAGCCTGGGCAACAACAACAAAAAATACAAACCAAAAAGAGAAATCAGACAAGATCCAAAGTTGCAAAGCTCTACTTTTTTAAAACCTAAACAATGTCTTACATTTGTTAAAGGACAAAGGACAGAGTCAGAATCCCCATTCCTCAACCACCAACAAATAAATGCGCTTCTGTTTCATATTGCCCATCATTTACAGTATTACAGCCTGAACCACTGCTAAATAAAAGGGGAGGAGACAAAAATTCTGTATTCACATTCTTAATGTCTTGACTACATTAGATCTCAAGAAAAAAACAAAAAAAAACAACGTTATTTATATATTTACATCCAACAACTCCAAGTCATCCTCCCTGTAGTCAGTTATTTTTTTTTCCCTATTGATGCTGACTGATTCTTCTCAGAACTGCCTTTGGGTGCCTTTCCAAGGCAACACATGTCAAGAAGAGGGTGATGAAGAATAGATGTTATAGCTTAATAAATAAACAAACTTATCTGTGTTTAAACCCTTCCCCGAATACGTCAACACAAATAAAAATGAATATACTCTTCATTTACAATTCTTATAAAAGTTATCTACGAAAAACTTTGCAAAACATCAATTTACACACTCCCACAAAGGGAGGTATTTCTGATTTATTTATTTTCAAAACATTGTGGACAGAGTATGATTTACAAGTTCCTTTATTGTGAAATAATGAAGAATCATGCTGGCATGCAGAGCTGTTGTACGCATCACATTGTAAAGAGCAGGAAGCCGCTGAATGTGTTGTAGTTCATCGAGTCGTTGTAGACGAGCCTGTTTGGCTCCAGCTGCACAAACACGTTGTCTCCCACTTTCAGAGGGATGACCACGGCGTTGCTGCCCATGTCGTTGATGTCAGACCCACTGGTGTCCCACACTGACGTCAGCCGTTCGCTGTTCTTCATGAGGCTCACAACCGAGTTGGGAGGAGAAGCCAGGTTGTTGAACATGGAGAACCGAAAGAAGTACATTCCACTGACCATCGCTGTGAAAATACCTGTGAAAATATGAAGGATTCAAAGAGATGTAAGAAATGCAACAATTAATGTGAATAAGTTGTTTATCCTTTTTTTTGTATACAATTCTTTCTAATATTGTACACACCTGTTGAAGGATTATAGCTATCACCTGTGTTGGAGAAAACCTTTTTGTACTTGAGTGGGGTA